ATATTTTTTGACTTTTTACATTTTTATAATTTATCTTTTAATATAAAAATATCACTTGTGAAATAAAAGAAATTGCTGTTGCATTGTAAAAATTTCCTGATACATATCGACGGATTCAACACATAATTTTTTTAAATATAAATGAAAGATCTGTAATTAATTTAATATTGACAAACACCATGGTGGAAATAACAACAAGACGCACAAAAAGCATGAGGGAGTTATTAAATTTATTCAATTAATGAAATATGGAAAAAAAGGTAAAAGGCAAAGAAAGGACAGAGTGAGATGATACTATTTATAATTTTGCAATAATTGGTGAATTTATATTTGAATATTTTACAAGCAAAAAGCAAAATAAATGAAAACATTAATATCTTGTCTTTCAAAAATTTACGAAGTATATTAACAATAGTTGATCCTGGTGTTGCATAAATTAAGGATTTAATGAAATTACTGATAAAAATGTAAAATTAGCCACAAATTTCCAAGATTGTATTAAAAATGATGTAATACATAAATTCCATATTTTATATATATATATCGGATATTAATATTATGGAAAATATTGCAACGATTTATTTTAAAATACAAGATATTTTGAAACACATCGAGTCTTTTTTGAATCTTTGAATTTTTGCAAAAAATTTTTAATAATTTTATGAGATAATAAAATTATCGAAGGTTTTAATAAAAGATCAAAAAATAATAGACAAACGTTTAAATAATTTTATTTTATTTAGTTTATTTAAAACAAATGTTATTTATATCTTATAAACAGATTAAAAAACGTAATTGACGAAGATAGGAATCTGAAACTTCTTTATGATAGTTTAAAATGTTTTATTTTAATATAAAATGATACCCGATTATTGTTGGTAATTATGTTGATAGAAAAGTGATTCTTACCCATCTATGCAATATTTTATGGCCAAAATGAACTCATTATAAAGTGATGGGCCGTTCGCATTAAGAACGTATAATTAATTTTTCTGGAAAACGTGACAAGATTAGTGTTGTGACAAACAAAATTTCTGCAAAGGGGCGTCCTTAGAAAAATAACATTATAGAACTATATAAGAATTTTAGCTAGAGAAAGAGAAGAAGGAGCTGTCGTCTAAGGGTACGAATAGGACGGAGGGGGCACCAAGAATTGGGACCAGATTTAATTCGTTAAGGAACGAGGGTTGTACAGGACTTTATCATAGGGAGGGTCGGTCGCATAATTCATGTAATAAAGCGATCAAGGGAAGCACGCGGAGGGCGGAGAATGACTCAGTCTATGAAGGAAAAAACGGGAAGGAGCACACGTGCATTGCAAATGAGAGAAAAAGAAAGAGAAGAAGAGAGAGAGAAGACAGGAGGATACGATTACGGGCCTTATTTATAACGCCCGCGCCTATCGAGTGAGAGCTTGCAATTTATGTGGCTACAGAAAATTAGCGGTGTTGGGAAACAGACGAAGAGAGGGTTTACAAGACACGAATAAGGATAAAGCCTTACTGAGATTTTATTTACTTACCACGTGTGTACAATTCGTTTTACCTTTCCTTGTTATTACAATATTACTGTATCCTAAAATAATCATTTATTTAAGTAAAAAGCCTTGATATGTATGATATAATTTATTCCAATATGATATATTTCATACTTTGTAGAGGTATTATATATTTTTTCTTTTACAACTTAAAAGGAAGGTTAACTTCTTTGATTTGATATTCCTAAAATCAGTTTTTCAAGAAAAATAAAATTAATTTATTCATTTTCAGTGTATTAGCAAAAGTAATAAATAGTATAGCTCATATCATTTTACTATTGATTTTCTATTTGCTACAAAAAAAATAAAATATAGATTTAGTATTGAAAAATATCTTAGTATCGAACTGACATTAAATGAAAATTAAATATCTTAAATGCAAGGGATGTATAAAAAAGAAGTGATTTTAAAATATATATTCTTCACGACGTTTTAGTAACTGCCAGAGTAAGGTTTCGGGTATCTTTCCTGAAATTAATTTAATTTAATCAAGGAATCAATGGCAAGACAACTTGAGCACGAAACCGGCGAGGTTCCAACTTCGTAGATATTCAGTCGAAGTTCAACTTCATTAAGGATTCTGTGCCTTGATCTGGAAATACGATAAGACTCTCACATATTTGGTACTGGGAGTTAAGCAACCATAAATATTCTGACTCACAGAGGTATACTTGAGATCAATGTTTTGACCCCCTTGACATCTGATGAACTATGTTGATGAACTTTATTCACTTATGCTTTTATTTAAAGTTTTAATATTAATAAGATGGCTGCAATTATTATTAGCAACCCTCATTGTGAAAAATAAGATGGGTCACATTGTGAATAAGACTCGGAAATGGAAATATCAAGGGATTCTTATTTCCTCAATTTTATTAATTTTATTAAACCATTGACAGAAGTAAGGCAAAAATTGTTATAGCTTGCAAAAGTATTAAGAGTATTAAACAAAGAAACGGACAACGGATCAATATCCGATATGTAGAAGAATGTATTGTATTTTTATGATTTCCTCCGTAACTATAGTTAAAAAATATCCAAGAATTTGTTTTACGCAGTTGTTGAATTTTTAACCAAAATGATTAATTTCTTAGATGCATTGTTTTTTTTAATAAGATAAGATAGGATGATATATAATTACGCACTGACGGCTTTTCTCCTTGTTACAAATAAGTAATCATTTCTAGTATTCGACATTACACTGATAAATATTATTTGAATTTTTATCAAACATTTAAATTGTTTAAAAAACTAGGTTATTTTTACATTGTTATAACAACTATTATATATTTAGAATATTTATATAACATAAAAGGAATTCCATAAAGATTAATAAATTCACCTGTAAAGTTTTCTTATTTCTATATTTTAGATTTCTAATTTTAAGACAAATAATTGCTTTAATCATTTTTATTTTTCATTCTATTTAAAATACAAGAATGCCATACTTATTTCCTTTATTAATTTAATTGTTCAATAATATATAATTCAATAATAAATTTTCTTTCATTTGGCTGTATTTGAATGTGAGTTATTCATAAATGCACATCACATTGTTATGCAAATATATATTTAACTCTTATTTTACATTTCAAGTTAAAAATCGATGAATTGTGCTAAATAAAAAGTAATTGGTTCAGATTAATTAATTAAATGATTAAGTTTTATTAGACATTCATAATATTATGTAAATATTTCGGAATAATAATTTGAACTTCAATATAAATTGTAATTTTTTGAAAAATATCTTTTTTGTTGTTTACATATTTCCATAAATAATCCTACGAAATTACATTTACAAAATTTATTTCTAAATATTTTTAGAAAATTAATTAAATATATTTTTAAACCTTGTGATAATAAAATGCAATTTCAATTTTGTTTTTTTTTGTAAAATATCTAGATTTTAAACATTTAAAAAAATTCAATATCTATTATCAATATATTGTAATTTGCATGATTAATATTCAAATTGTATAAGTTCGTGAAATATTTTTTTTTAAATAAATAAAAAATACTAATTATATTTATTCTTTTAAATTAATAGAAATTTTGTTAAATATGTATGTATATAAATTTTATAATTGATAATACTAATATCTACAAAAATTATAAGTCAATGAAATAAAGTTTATAGCGCTATCTTATTATCTTCATTTAAAAATCGCTTTAAAAATATTTCAATATAAAAAATAAATTTAATTAAAATAACTGATTGAATTACACAGACAGTTTATTATTTTAATAAATATGAATATGTAAATATCATCATTTAATAATAATTTATATACGCAAAAATTAAAATTTTTTGAATACATAGTAGAAATATAATTGCTTCAAGTTTATTTAAAATTCCAATGTAATTTATCCTTGAATAATGAAATAAAATTATAAAAATTAATCTAAAAATATTAATAGTATGTTAGAAATAAATGAGATGTTAAATCTATTGCCATGATAAGTTAAAGAAATTAAAAATTAATTTCTATTTTGTTAAAAAAGTGGGACAAAAAATCAAAGATTATAATTATATGAAAACAAAGGATTCAAGTCTAATAGGTATAATGTGATTATTATCAAGAATTACTCAGCTTATGTATGTTGCTTCTTATCAGCTGCTGAATAACCAAGATTTTGTCGCCGATCGGAAAACCGTCTCTCTGTTGCTTTGTGTAGTTACTTACGAGTAACTATACACGAAAGCCGAGATAAGTCGAATGCGTAAAATCTTTTCTTCTACGCTGTTGCGAAAAGACGTGTAGTATAGGTCAACAGAGGAATAAATATGTATTCAATAAATTAAAAACAGTTTCAGTTTATAAACGAATTGAAATTCTTTATTTAAAATATTATACAAAAAATACTTAAATATTTACTGTTTTATATACATAAATACATTAACATTTAATATAAAGTTATAATTAACGTGCAATACGACAGTATAAATATATAAAAACTAAACCACTAGTTTTAAACTTGGTTTCATTTCATTATCATTTATTTATGAGTGTCATTAATTTAGAACTATACATCTATAAAAAACTTATTTTAAAATGTAAGTAATAAATGAGTATGGTTGATTTGAAATATTTTATAATATAATTTTATAATACGTGCTTTCTTCACATTATTTCTATTGATTATTGGTAGTATGCGCTCTTATATCACTTATAACAAAACTTATCAAAGTAAATCAATAAAATATATTTAAAAGTATATGGTAAGAATATATATTAAATTTCTTCATAATATAAAAATTTGAATTTATATTTAAAATTAAATATTATAAAAGAGTAACTTAAATATATATATGTGAATATCGATCAATTTACATGAAAATTATGTTATTTTAATATTTTATATACAGTACCATACCAAAATAATATTTAAAAAATATCAGGTAAGTTATCACCTGTAATGTATTAACGGTGTAATCATTTACTGATTTGTTTTCTCAAAAGAATTGAATGATTTGATGAATTTGATAAACTACATTGATAAATTTATTCTACTATTAGATCAAAATGGTCGATTTCTTCAAACGTTTCATTTATATTTTTAACCCATTCTTTGATTCGCTTTCTTTCTTCTTTATTAATTTTAGTTACCTTTTTTTTTTTGAGTCGCGGTTCATTATATTCATCTTTTTCCTCTACAAAATTATATTTATTAATATCCAAAAGAATTTCTCGTTTTCGCTTCTGGTACGAACGTCTTGGAGGCTAAAAAATTTTTTTTAATAATAAACATTAATAATTAATAAAATTACTAATGAAAATAATTTTAATTTTAATTTAAAATTTAAATATTTTAATTTTATAAATTACCTCACTAAAATGAACTGGTTGTAAATCGATAAATAAAGGAAATTCTTTGGGTAATTTAATTTCTTTTTTTTCACAAAGAATGTCAAACGTATCTGAGAATAATATAGAATCTAATACTGATTTATTTGATAATTGAAGCTCATTGCCACTTATCAACTTTTCAATTGTTTTATTATCATTTTTTTCAATAATGTTTATGTTTTTGTTTATATACGACTCTATTGTTTCTTTTGGTTTTTTTTTCAAACCAGATTTTAATATTAATTTTTTTGCTGGATTTTCTAAAATTCTTGATGAAATTTGTAGCTTATCTTTTACTTTTGAAGTAGTATTTTCTTTTGTGCTCTTGACATTATGTTTTTTATTAATTATTGACATAGATGAATTATTAACTGATGGTATTTCATGTACATCCGAATCATCAAAACCAAATGCATTTTCTATAGTTGGTTCTATAATCAATTTTTTAAATTTTCTTCCTTTTATTGGAGTAGAATGAACATCATTGAAAATTCCATGAATTGTAGATATATGCGTTTCCTCTGGCATTTGATCTATGTTTAAAAAATTGTTAAGATTTGATTGTCTTAAAATCGTTGGCTTTAAGTCTCCATGATGTAACAATGTTGTTTCTATTTTAAACTCTTCATCAGTAATTGTTTGTGTTTTAGATCGAGGTTCAACATAAACTGAGAAAGTAATACATTTTTATTAAAAATTGATGAAAATAATTTTTTAAATTTATATATATAATATAGAATAGTTATAAAGTTAATTGAAAGATGTTTATCTCAAGTAAAATTTAAATTAATAAAATTATATTTTAATGAGTTATATAATTAATAAATTTATATTACGTGTTCTTTTAGAAGAATGCATTTTGTCAAATCTGAAAGGACTTGGTGAGCTAAATTTCTTTCTTGCAGTTTTTTTTGGAGTTATTGTATTTTCCTTATTTACATAAGATTTTTCTTGATTTATAGGAAATTCTAATAAATTTGTTTTTAGAGATTCAGTTTGTGTTGATAACGTTGTATTATTGTCTGTAAAAGACATTTGCAATATCGTTGTTACTGAGGATTGTTGATTATCTTTAATTGGACTTTTATTTATATTTTGCACGTTTTTACTATGAAAAGAACTTATATTAGAAAGTACAGTTCCAAATTTTCGTGGAGATATTTTATGATCATTTATAATAGACACTTTTGTATCTTCCAGTTTATTTTGCTTACTAAAAACACTCGATAATACTTGAATGGTATCATTAGAAGCAATTGATTTATTAAAATTTATTTTAGGTGCTGAAAGTTTCTTTGTACGCATTAATGGTAGTTTATTTATTTGAGGTGTACTTTGCACTATCTGTTGAACACGTGAAAAAGTATCTATTGAGCGCCATGGACTTCCTGCATCAAAGTTTTCAACCAACTTAGTAATTGGTGACATTGATTTCCTAATTAATGAATGATTTATCATATGACTGTATTGCATTGTTGGTTTAGAAGTAATAGCATTTTTGGGACCAAATAATTTTAATTCGGATGTTATTAATTTAGGTATAGATGGTGTTACAGTTAAATTAATTTTTTTACTATCTTGTAATTTATCATTTGATGATATTTTAATAGTTGAAACTTCTGAAATTGTACTATTTTCAGCACCTTGAAGATATTCAGGATTCATATGATTCTGAATACTTTTAACAATTTTTTTTTCATTTTGTTCCTTAAAATTGACATTTATTGGACCTTTCTTAATATTTTTTCTTTGATTTCTTAGAGTTCCAAGTATTCGAGAAGTTTTAATTTTTTTAATTTGTTTCGCAGTCGTTTTTTTACAAGTTTTTTTCATTTGTTTTATTTTTTGATCATTATCTTGTGATTCATCAGGAAAAGTATAAATTTCTTCTTTATCTTTGAAATTCTCTTGAGATAATTTAATACTTTTGTATATTGGTACAGATTTTTTATTATTTTTAATGTTAAATTTTTTAGTATTTGTTATTGTTTGTTCATTAGAGTTAGAAGTTTCTGAAAGTCTTGATAATTCACAATAATTTTTTTTTGTTCTAGGGCGTAATTGTTTTTTTAAAGGTTTTACAGACTTTCTTTGCTTTTCAGGTGAAAGAGTAAGTCTACTTTCAGTACTATCAATCATACTATTCATCCTACTTTCTTTAATATTATTAACTTGATTTGTATTTTTTATAAAAGAAGGAATTGGTTTCATGTCGTTTTCATTACTTTTATTTTTAAAAAATTTATTATTAGTTATTTGTTTTCTAACTTTGATCAGAGTTTCCGTTTCTAACTTTTTGCTTCTTATTGGTTTATAAATTTTATTACTAATTGATTCAGTGTTATTACAATTTAATTTAATTTTCGATGCTTGTTTTAAATGTACTATTTTATAAGAATCAGTTGGTACTGCTTCTACATCTTTATTTAATAATTCTTGAATATTTTCAATTGAAATATTTTTTGTTTTTAATATTTTATTTTTTACATCTAACTTTTTAAAATTTTCTTTTTTATTAGGAAGCAATTTGCAGATTTGTTTATGATTATTTTTATCAATATTTGACTGTAAAAGCTTTGATTTATTTACTTTAAAATCAGATATTTTCATTAATTTTTTTGTAGAATTAATTTCATGTACTTGAAGTTTATTTATTGTTTTTAAATTAAACTTCTCTGAGTTATTATTTAGTAAATCTCTTTTCTGACTTTGTGATTTATTATCATTGCATCTTTCGATTAATACTTGTATCTCAAACAAAGGTTTTTGATCAAGATCACCTTTATTTTCAACTATGTGCTTTTTATTACTATTTTTATTGTCATTCGATGATATATTATTAATATTTACTGATCTGCTAACTTTATTAAGTTTGTTAAAAGAGTTTATTCGATCTTTTAAAATAGGTGAATTTTTGGTCAATGCTGAATTTTCATTAGCAAAAGAATTGCTTGTTTTTATAGACTTTGACAATAATGTTTTTGATCCAGAATTTTGTACATTTAATTCATTGCGTCTTATAGATGGTAATATATTTTCCTTGGGTTCCAATATGTTTGTATTATTTGATTTACTTTTGTTCTTGTTATAATTTGTATCTTTTTTTGTCTTATTAACATTATAATTATTAGGTTTAACAGATGAATCTATACTTAAAATTGGAATTCGTCTGTTTCTTATAGAGCGAGACATAACTTGCTTAATAAATTTTCACCTAAAAATGGTATCAATTAGAAAACGTATACTTTAAAAATAAGAATAAACTATTTTAATCCAAAATACGTTTCATTAAATATATATATATATATATTTTTTTACATATACTTTTTTTTTTAATACATCATTTAATGAAGCACACACACGCGCACAACATATATATATATATATATATTCATATGTGCATGCATATATGAATATTAAATTCTGCAATATCTAAAATAAAATATTGTACACAATATGATAGAAACTGCTTTTACTTTTATGAAAACCATTTTAAAAATAAAAAATATCAAAATAGAAAAAACTATATATTCATAACCTAAAAATTAAATATATATTTTTAATTAAAATATTGTGCATACCTATAGTAATTGTAGATAAGTTAATACAACGAATAAAGCGATAACTATAATCTCGTAATTGATAAATGAATTTTTATGTTATTGTGTAACTTACAATGCATGATCAATTAAGTTGCATATTATATATTTCCAATTTTTCTTCCTTGTGTGTATTACGATTTGGTTTGGCCGTTAGTAGAATACAATGTACTTTTTTTTCATTGGTGCAAATATAGGTAAAATATCTTTTTCCAATAGGTAGTCTGTTTTGATTGGCTTTTGTTTAAATTTTTAACCAACATCATATACATAATTATTTTCAAAATTATATCATACTATAGATAAAATAATTTGATATAAAATAAATACAGTCTTAAATATGTCAGAAATTAAAAATGGTAGATCATCTCCAATTCGAAAAGTAAGAATTTTTGTATAAAGTTCTTGTATATGCATGCACTATGCATATATATGTATATATGCAAGAACAAAGAGGATTTAAATAGATTTAAACAGTAGTAATATTATTAATTATATCATATATATACTCAAATATATAATTACAGAGAAAAAAGAATTAATAGTGGAAATTTGACAAAATGTTTAAAGCAAAAGAAACATTAATTAAAAAAATTAATTTAAATAACGAATTTATTAAAAGTAAAGTAGATTAGTCAAATTATTATTTATATAGTAAACTACATTAAAGGATGTTTTTCACTTATAAATATTTAATATTAAACCATACTTGAATAAAATAAATAAGTATTATATTATATATTAGTATAATAATTAAAACATTTATATTTTTACTTTAATGTTATATATTTAGAAAATACCTTTATATAACAATATATTATTAATGTTTTTTAATTTAAAGATACATTTTTTATCAATTTAATATGATATAAATATTTTCAATTAAAATATCTACTTAAGTATTTAAGAATTTCATAAGTAAATTAATTCCGTGAAATAATTTATATAAAGCCTAATAAATAAGAACACAATAACACAAATTTATTTAAAATTATAATTTGTATTAATACAAAGGTAGGATTAAAATATTTTATTTATTAACAATAGTAATATGTTTTATACTGTAATAAAAACGACAAAAGCAGCTTATACATTTTTTAACATTTTTCTATATATTTATAATATCCACAATATTTTACATAAAATATATATTACAATATCATTATAAATAAATAACGAACTTAACGTAGTTAGAAATATTGACAAGTATTTTAATTATTTTCAAAGTCATTATAAGTATGTATTATGACACATTTAAATACATAAATGTTTATCTAATTTTTTAATCTTACGTACACACATAAGTGACTTATTAAACAATTTTTCTTTTTTCAAAAATTATTTTAATTTAAAATTTGAAAAGTTAATATTGTTTATATTGTATAATAGTAAAAATGTTTAGTTAAAATTAAAATAATACATGTAAAGCAATAAAGTATTTGTAATCTAGTTAAGTATTTTGATAAGAATTTTTTACTATAAAGTAGTTTTGTTTTTTAAGTAAAACTATATTTTAATTTGATATTAATATTGTCTTAATATTTTATTCTTGAATGATCAATTAATTTTTTTATGTATTTAAAATTTATGTTCAGGATATGATATTGCAACAGATTTGACTAATATTCGTTTTTTAATTATTTAATATTTATATTATTATTTCTTTCAACGATTTTATTCTTCAATAAGTCACTGTGGTATTTTCTTAAGGTACTTGTAGAACTAATGTAGTATAATTACCTCAGTTTCTTAATTTGCATCCATTATTACCAATACTTCTCTGTTGTAATATGTAATGCGCTATTAAAATTGAGCACAACATTTGCATTAACTATTCACAAGTTTAATTCAATTTTAATTTTTCATTTCTATTACATAGTAAGTGAGAATGAGACAAATACAAATATTGGTGAATAAAGATGATTAAAATTCTACATCCATTCATTAAAATCATTTTATCATCAAAATAATAATTCATCATACTTTTAATATAGTACCATAGAACACTCTAGAAGACTAGAATATAGATAAAATTATATAAATTGATTAAAATGATTAATATAATTTTAAATTTTACAAAAATGTAATTTTGTAAATCTAATAGCTTTGCATGACAAAATATTTTAATATAATGTTTTACATTTTTATGTAGAAATGTATTTGGCAAAAATAAGTACTTTTAAGCATAATAGATGCTTGTAAAAATTATAGATATATATATTCTTTTAGTTTATATTTATTGTTATATTATAATAGAATTTAATCTAAGGTGATTAAATTTATTACATTTATTCAAAACTTCAAATGAATAAATGATAACTATTAATAAGTTATAAGTATAAAATTTTGCTTAAGTTCTGATATTGAAAAACAACTTTTTTAATCGAAATTATGAATTCCAAGTTTTAGAAAGTGATAACATTTTTATCAATTATATTGCAATTTATAAGATTTATAGTTTAATGGAATGTCAGATAAAAATAGTTTAGGGGTCATGAACAATTTATGAATTCAAATTCCTACATATTATATTTATATAATAATAAATCGAGATATTGAGTCCACTTTCAATTGGAAGATCATTATGTTTATTTTTATATCTAAATTCAAGTTTGAAAAGTAGCAAAATTTTACTTTTTTTTTATTATTCGATAATTAAATGTTTTTCAAAATAGCTTAAAAATAAAAATAGTAACTGTTTTTTATAAATATTAAAAAATTCTTTTATATATAAAATTAAAGTTAAAATTATTTTTAAAATATTTATTATAGTTCTTAATAAAGATATATGTAATATTTTATAGTTTATTATTAATTATCACTTAATTAAAATTGTTTATGTATGCTTTATATAACATTACAATTTTATATAAGTTAAAAATTAATTTATAATTTTGATTAAAAACTTATATCGAAATTAAATATTATAAATAAACATATAAAATAATAATAACAACAATAATTGAAAAAAATAAATATTTTAAATAAATTTTACTAATATTTATTATATGATATAGATAACTGAGTAACAGTTTAAAGTATAATTTATTTATTATATATAAAGTTGTAACTATGAATAAAGTTAGATGAATAAAATGAGTTTTAGCCTTTATCTTTTCGACTTATATTCAGACCGACGTTACTCACCCGGGCATTTTACGATTTATCATTGCACCTAAATCTGGAACAATTTGTTTTTGATCAGGATTATAAAGTAATGTTCGTGCACTTAAAAAAGATATATCCGGTAACTGTTTTAATATTTTCATCGTTTCTGCTCTTATGGTCATCGGTTTACCGAATCTATCTAATACAACATGTTCTGTATTCTGTACATTTTCTTTTTTACTGGACGTCAATTTTCTTTGTTGTTCATATCTGTGTAATTCAGATTTATTACTTTCAGATTTTAATGAATCTAATTTGTTAACACTGTTATTAGTTTGAGAAAGTTTCAAAGTTTTAAGAATTTCATTTTTTGTTCTTGATTCTGAATCCACTTTCTTCCAGTCTATTATACTAGGTCCAGGTAACGGTTCTATTATTTTGGAAATTTGTAGTTGTTTTAGGGGCTTGGGTAGAGTATCCGATTGTTTATTACTTGATTTATATGATTTACTTAATTGAGTCTGTTTGTAATTTTTACAAGAACTAGTTTCTGTAGGATCTGTAAAAAAATAATTTTAGTGTAGTGAAAGTAAATTATAGAATACCTAATTTCAGTAAATTATTGTTTAATATGAATAAAAAGTCAATATTGTAATTAGTCTTCAAATATATTGTTAATTAATTTAAGTTATATCTGAAATATTGTATATGTATATTTAAAAATAAAATTCCAATGCATTTATACTGATAGAAGAACTGGCTTAACACTTACAATTGTATATAGAGTTCCTTGTAGAAGCAGCATGATGATAGGATTTAAAATGTATGGGATAGTGAGATGTTAGTAAAGGATCAAAAGGATATAACAGATCCAGTGGTAGAAGTGCAGATAACCCGCCACCTGTATCGTTAATTACACAGTACAGTATACAAAATTCATATAGTAAATACCAGAATTAAAAGAAATGATAAAAAAAAAAAAATGAAAACAGAACAAGCAAGACTGAAGTATATAAACAGGAAACATTGTAAATAACTAAACCTTAAATATCTCTAAAATTTGAAATATTTTAGAATACTTACCTTCATCTAATGGATTAATCAATCCTGAACTATGCCAATCAAATTGCGCAGCTGGTACCTCCTATTATAGATGCATATTGTTAATACTTATAACAGAAAATTTTATGAATAGTAGAAATGCATTTAAACTTTAGATTTATTTTATTACATTATGATTTATAACTAATAATTTTGCAATAATATCAAATTAAATAAAATAACTTCTAGTTTTATTTGAAGATTTAAAGCTTCATATTAAATTAAAAATTACATACTTCTGTAACTGCAGAACTTGTTTTATTATGATTTGATGCAATTATTTGTTGTATATCATTAAAAGCTTTTACTGGTTCTAAAGGCGAGTAACCTAAATTAGCAGCAAATCTTGGAATATTAGGATTCCACCTTGGTCCAAATAACTAATATATAACACATTATTATTTCTAATTACATTATTAAATGATTATTTCTTACCCAGCTTAAATGAATTATATTAGCTTTAATAATTAACCATATAAAGATAAATACACAATTCCTTTTAGTATTTTTAGGAAATAATGAAGATGGAAATAACATACTTCTATTATATTAAATTTTATTTAACAGGTATTCTTTATTAATGTTTATATATATTTTTAACTAACATAATAAATTTAAAATCTACTTACTATATTACGAGAATCGATGCCTAAAGCACTTAAAAGGATATTATTGCTACTGCTGTTTAACCACTGATAAGTAAGAGCATTAGTTTCTTCAACACTTTTTAAGTTTTTCCATATTTTATCAGTTTTAATAATTAAAGATTGCAAAGCCACACTAGGACTTGCAGTAATCGATGGAAACATATTTGTAACTATATCTTCAATCTTGTTTGCAGCCTAGAAATAATTAAATATGTTATTAAATTTAAATCCTTTCTACAAAAGTGTATTTTAAATTATGTACTTATAAAATAATTTAAAAATATTTTTAAGTACTATGCAGAAATTCTATCAAATTAAAATTCTAAATATTCTAAGCAAAATAAAATTGTACTTACATTCTTATTTTCAATATGAAACATAGACTCTATTATATTAACCGATCTTTCAATTACAGGTATAGATGATTCAAAATCAGCAAAATCATCAATAGACTTATTATCGAATGTACATATTTCAGATGGTTGAATATTTTTATTTAAATTTGTATTTGTGTATTCTTTTACAGAAACACTAGAAAAATCAGCAAAATCACCAAATTCATTATCAGATATTGATAAAAAAGTTTCAAATTGTTCTGTATCTAAATTTTTTGTTTCATAATTTGCAATATGATTTTCTATTCCATTAATTATTGATTTTTTTACTGTGTCACAGGCATCAGACATATATTCATTAACTTCACGAAGTTCATCATTGACAGAAACATTTTCTAAGTTCGTCAGTGGTGAGTGAAAGTTAGATATACAATTATTTATAGTAAAAACTGATTTATCAATTGCATTGTTTGATTTTAAACTATTATCGTGATTATCAATAAAATCATTTTGAAACATTGGTTTATAAAAAGCTTCTTGCTGTTTTAAGTCAAAAAAATCGCAGTTAATTTCTTTTTTAAGACTATCTTGTATATTACCTTCAGGACTACTATTTTTATAATTACTTGCACAATCCATTTCCTTAATATTCATAGATTTTGGAAAGTCGTCAATAATATCAGTGGTTTTTATATCAGGGATATTGTCTTTTGATTGTTGAAAATTATCTGTTTTACTATTTGAAACATAATCTTGCTTTAAATTTTCAAAGCAATTATTGTCTCTATTAAAATCGAAAACATTATCTGCCAATTTATAATCTATATTTAATTTTTCAGTAGAAAAATCAGTTAAGCTTACATTAAAATTTGCAGAACTTATTACAGATTTACATTCAAAATTTACATCATCACAATTAATTTCAATAATAGATTGTTGCGGTGAATCATTAAATTTATAATTTGTAAATACATCATATTTATCATTCTTAATTTGTACATTTGAAGAAAAATTAGGTCCTAAAGTTTTGTTATGATTTAAGTTGCTATGATCAATGAAATTAGATTTATTACCTAATTTTGATTGAAAACTATCCGTATTGAATAATAAAAATCCATTGCTGTCATTAAATTTATGACCAGAACATGAATTATTTTTTGTAAATATTTCATTTTGTACTTTAGATTCTTGAAATTGCTCTTGTAAATTAAGTGTCAAACTAATCATTGGTTTATTTCTAATAGGACTATCAGGTTCTAACAGATCTTTAAAATGTTCATAATCATAAAAATCATTTTCTAAATTTTGATGTATGTCTGAAACACTGCTTGGATCATCCAAAATTAAACTCAATGGTTCAGGATCATCATTACCTTCTACATTGCACAATGAATCTTCCAATTCACTACCTGTTTTACCACTATCATCCAAACTACTATTGTTACTACTTATTACATTATTATTAACAATATTTTTTACATAATTATCATGAAAAAGGTTCAAACTATCACTATTACTATTAAAATTTTTAATCTCATTATGGTTAGGCAAAACTAAACTGCTAATACAAGATAAACCATTACTATCAAAGTCACTGTTTTTAACATTATCACTATTTGTCCTATAGTTTACATTTGTATAGTTCACATCATTGGTTTTTTCAACAATTAAAATCTCGTCAGTTGTTGTTCTCTCAATAATTTCATTGATATTTGGTGATGCTACCATTTGTGAAACATTTGTTATTCCATTTACCTTTGGTGTACCACATAATGAAGATATTGGAGTTGATATGGGAGTAGATAATTTACGAGGAGAATCCGAAGCTATTGATGAGCCTAAAAACATATTTTAAACAAATTAACAATTTAAAAAAACAATTTTTTTAATAAGTTTTAAATATTATATTTATGTTAATGTCCATATTTTTGTTTACAAGTTTTATCTCAAATAAATAAAATATTTTACTATCAAATCCAGCAGTAGTAAAATCTCCAAATTCATCATCATCAGATTCTCCAAAGTTATCCAAAGGTGGTGGAGTTGAACTCACTAGTGGTGGGATTGCCATTATGTTGATCTTTTCGAATTGAGAAAATTAAAAAAATGATAAACGTGTAAAATACGAAATTCATCCATAAATATAATATGGCAAATCCCGATTCTTAACGTGCGTTAAATAATAATAATTAATCAATCTTTGAACGATAATTGTCAGTATGGTTTTCGATAACAAGAATTACATAAAAGTATCTACGTAGTTTTAGAAGTTAATAAGGTTTGACAAAACAACTTGCGTATACTTAACATAAAGCAACGATATGTCAATTTTGCAAAATAGTTGAATAGGTTAGATATCATTTGTAACTGCGCAAAGAACTTGGTTTGTTTTTCATTTGATATGTGCAAAATTTATATTCAAAATAAAAGCAATGGTGATATTAATTGTATTACGATTATGTAATTCATTGTGGTCAACATTTTCGTGTGTGGTAAAAAAAATCACACGTAGACATATACAAAGAACATTAAGAGTCTCACCTGAAAATCCCAACGAAAATTTTCTGGTGGCTTTATGCTATGAGGGTTGCTTCTAACACTCGCAAATACGTTTTTCAAGATTATCGCACCATTAGTATTATTTTAGATTTCCGCATTAATAAAGACGACAGCTCTCGTATTCTCGCGCGAATCTTTGATATACGCGAAAAAAGAATGAATAATGTATTTGATTGTGATGAGATTATCCGTTTCACTAAATAATACGAGCGGAATGGAATATCACCTGTACACATTCTGTTTTCCTCTACCTTTGCCTCTTTTAAGCCTATATTCACATTGTCCGATATTAATATTCATAATTATCGTACCGCTTTTGTATTCTTATTAAATGATTGGTTACTTCGACTGTATTTTAATGTGAGACTTAATCACATTAATAAAAATAAAGATAATGAAATGATAATAAGAAATAGGCATATGATAGTATGCATACCTCGATTACTTGTAGCAACTTAATTTCCAAGGAATCATTCATTTATGTCACATAACAGGCTACAAGAAAATATGTAATAAAATATAATAGTATACAAATATTGCCTATATTAGTTTTTTTAGTACTTTGTTGCGAGTATATAAAAGTTTTATACATTTATTCAGGCAAATTTTTGATAATGTCTCGATGGTGAATCATAATTGTAGTGACCATCTTTATCATATTAAATTTTTAAATGAAAAATGTGTGTTTAAACGATGAGTATCATAAGTAAGATTTAATTTTAATAAGATAGACTCAAAAAAAGATATATAGTTTTAATCTAGCTAGATAAAATTTGATTTTAATGTAAGTGATAGGAATTCATAGTATTAAAAGAATATTCAACCCGTCATATAAGGTGAATTTTAGAATATTGTTTACTTTATTCTTCGGTATTACACTTTCATTCGATATCTGATGCTGTAATATTTTAGATGAACATTTATTTCGATGACAGTCTGATGATTTTCAATTTTGCTTCTCGATTCTAGTCTAAAGTCTAAATTTGTCAATTATTGACCATGACTTTTTCAATGAATATTTATTAAAATCTTCTTTCATATACTGATAAAGTAAAATAACAATTAATAGGAAATGAAATTAATTCGTACGTTTTATTTTTTTGAAATATTATTTAAAATTTTTTTTTCTTTAAATCATAATTATGATTTAAAAGATACAATATTAATCGTAAATATTATTAATATAATTTAATTTAAATTAAAATAATATAATTAAAATTTACGGTGTTATGTGTATGACTATACTTTTGTGCATATATAACTTTTAACTGTTGGCTTTTTATCAAGGCTTGCAAATATAGATTTTAGTTTTTATATTATAAGCTTATTATAAATTAATTGACTAAAATCTTATATTATTTATTTATAGAAATTTGTATGTATAATTAATAAATACATTATACAAAATTCTGAATTTAAAATGGAATTTGAAAATGAACATTAATGTTACTAAGTAGAGATTAAATAAAATTAAAATAAATTTCAATAATAAATTTGAAATTTTAAATTGTATGCTATTTATATAAATTTTAATCATTAAGTAAACATATTTCAACCTAAAAATCATAATATATTTGAAGTTTAGCTAACAACTTTTAACTGCAGTTTGAAATTAATAATATATAATATTGTATAGTAGAAGACAATTTATGAATTATTTTACAATTACAGACTTTATAATTTTCTTATATTTCATTTAGTGTATATTTATTGTTAAATGAAATCTTATGTAATAAAAAATGTACCTATTCGTAGTATTAAATATTTTTTAAATATATTCAAACAATAATTTGTTAAGAAGTTACTGTATATCATTGACTACGTGCTTTTTCCAAGTTGTGTAATAAGCATTAAAATATATATTTTCATTTGATAAAACTCCAATATAAATTAAAGGTTATACAATTTATTTAATACTTTTTAAATAAAAATAGTACAATATAATTTAATGAGCTTACCAATAAGTAATATATAGCTAAATTAAAAATTTTATATGTGAAGGTAACTTATATAAATGTACTCTTTACAGATGATAGTAATGATATACAATTGAAAATGACAGATAAACTTATTAATAGATATTTAGATTTTTTTAAAACATTTTAGACGTTAAAATCTTATATTATTCCAAACTATATTTTTAAAAATATTTATTTATGTTTTATTCAATGTCAAATTAAAAAATATTAATTAAAATCTTTCCTAAAGAAATAATATTCCCTTCCTATTTATATCAAACTGATATTATTATTAATATTAACTTATATTATTGTAATTTAAACAAAAAAATGATTATCCTTAACATAGGCTGTATAAGATATATTACGGTAAACATACCGAAGACATTTATTTAATGTGGAAGTTTTATGCATCTATATTTCAAGTAATTAAAAAAAATATTACTTATAAATAATTCTATTTTATGCAGGTTAAAAAGCAACTCTTGATTCTAGATATTAATCACACAGTTTTTGATGTTTTTTAACTACACGCATTCAAATAATACCAAAAATTATAAAATGTAAGTTTTATCTTATAAATTAATATTATATACTGTTTTACAAATTCTATGATTATTTGATGTAAAAAATTAAAATAAAAGTAAATTTTATAATTATAAATTTTAATTTGCTTCACCACGAAAAAATATTTAATGTATATAAATTCGAAAATTTGGTTGTTATATATTATTTTTTACATTTAAAAAATAAATAATAATTCTCAATCCATTCGAAAAATTTACATCTTCAAAAGAATTAGAATTTTGAGTCTCATTATATCCTTATATACTACACGGAGTCACTTATAGGCCTTAATTGAAATATCAGTGATTTAACAAACGTTCAATTTCATCATTGTATGATTAAAAGATGTATATAGTGCCATCTGTTGGTAATTTATATTGGCGGTTTGCTATATTCAAGTTTGGACTAGAGGTATTTTTATATATATTGATTTTATAAAATGGCGGAGGGAAAGTCACGACGTATTGCTGCTGCACAAAATGAAGATTTATCAAATGTTGAATTCGAAACTAGTGAAGATGTCGAGGTTATTCCGACCTTCGACAACATGGGCCTTAGAGATGAGTTGCTTCGAGGAATTTACGCTTACGGTAAGTTTTATAATAAACTTTCACTTTATAAGAAAATTTAACCTAAAAATTGGATCTACATATTTAATTCCTTATTTATATATTATTTTTATATAATTTGATTTATTAATATGTACTAAATGTAAAATCTTACGTGACTTTATTCTATATTATTTATAGGTTTTGAAAAGCCCTCGGCTATTCAACAGCGCTCGATCAAACCAATAATGAAAGGTAGAGATGTTATTGCCCAAGCTCAATCTGGTACCGGAAAAACGGCAACATTTTCAATTGCAATTTTACAATCTCTCGATACTCAATTACGTGAAACACAGGTTCTCGTACTTTCACCTACAAGAGAACTTGCCACTCAGATTCAAAAAGTTATTCTAGCTCTGGGAGATTTCATGAATGTTCAATGTCATGCATGTATTGGTGGTACAAATTTAGGTGAAGATATCAGAAAACTTGACTATGGACAGCATGTTGTTTCTGGAACACCTGGAAGAGTATTCGGTAAATATTACAACAATTCATTTTAAAAGTATAAACATATATTAAGTTTTTATATTATCTTTTATATTACAAGTTTTTGTGATACAAATATTTATTTATTTTACTTACATATTAGTGATGTTATATGTATAATATATGTGATTGTAATTTTTTTAATTAATACGTACTGTTTGTTCTATTATTATATAATATTAATTGTACAATATTGATTTTATATATTTAATTAAAATTTTATATACTTAAAAAAATTTATGTTTTTAATCATATTATAATTAAAATATTATTAAATTTTATTAAAATATATTTTTATTTTATTAATTTATTTATTTTTACATTTGCTTCATTGTTATAGATTAATTATTAAATATTTTATATTTTAGATATGATCAAAAGAAGAGTCTTACGTACTAGGGCAATCAAGATGTTGGTTCTTGATGAATCTGATGAGATGTTGAATAAAGGTTTTAAAGAACAAATTTATGATGTTTATCGTTACCTTCCACCAGCAACCCAGGTAGTACTGGTATCGGCTACATTACCTCATGAAATTCTAGAAATGACTAGTAAATTTATGACTGATCCCATTAGAATTCTTGTTAAACGGCAAGTTTATAGATTTTTAGTAAAGTCAAATCGAAAATATTGTGACAAAAATGTTTAATTTATAATTTAATTATTATTTCAGTGATGAGCTGACACTTGAAGGTATAAAGCAATTTTTTGTTGCTGTTGAACGTGAAGAATGGAAGTTTGATACTCTCTGTGATTTATATGATACATTAACAATTACACAAGCAGTTATATTTTGTAATACAAAACGAAAAGTTGATTGGTTAACAGAAAAAATGAGAGAAGCTAATTTTACTGTATGTTCAATGCATGGAGATATGCCACAAAAAGAGAGAGATAATATAATGAAGGAGTTTAGATCTGGACAAAGGTATATATTTACTGTATAATTTTATGAATATTTGAACTTTGTTATCTAAGTTCAATTTTATTTTTATTTTTAATTTAATTTTATTTTATTTACCTTTTTAGTCGTGTGTTGATAACTACAGATGTCTGGGCTAGAGGAATAGATGTACAGCAAGTGTCTCTTGTTATTAATTATGATTTACCAAATAATCGTGAGTTATACATTCATAGAATAGGTCGTTCTGGACGTTTTGGAAGAAAAGGTGTTTCTATTAACTTTGTAAAAAATGACGATATTAGGATTCTTCGAGATATTGAACAATATTATTCTACTCAAATAGACGAAATGCCTATGAATGTAGCCGATTTAATATAATATCTATATTATAACTAATGTATTAAGTTGTGCATAATTGTTCATAACAGAATTTAAGGAAGGTTACCACATTTTTTCAAATGTCTCAATTTAGATACGTAGACAATTATTTAAACAAAATATTAAGAAAATTCAAAACAATTTAAGAAATTTAAATATTCTTCCTTTATTCTGTAGAAATAACTAATTTTTATATGCAATAGACAATTTATAAAATTATATTTATATTTTATTATTGATAAGCTTACAATGATTGTATAAAATAAAATATCAAATAAAAATATAGTTATACTTTGGTTTTTTTTTTATACATAATTTTAAATTACTTATTGACTATTTATAGTGACAAATCTTAAAAATATTAATTATAGTAATGTCAGTAAATTCTTACTGAGAAAATCAATAACCACCCTTATATGACGTTCTGTAGTGCATTAGTTTCTTCAGTAGGTAAAGATGATTTTGACGAGTTAAAATTCACGATCTAGTGCAAGATAAAATTATAATGTTAAGCTAGTTATTAATATCTTTAAATAAATTGGTACAACCAAACATAGCCTACACGCAATGAAAACTTATTTTAAATGAGTAATTTAAAATGAGAATTAGATATAAAAGGCAATTATAGAAAGAAAGAAAAATGTAAATATAAAATTAATTATGACTACTGACAGTGGGAGTTTATTTCTTTGATGTTTATTTAATGTTTAAAATAAAAGATGAATCAACAAGATAGGGTAAGAAATTTGGAAAACCAAGCTATTTCTCACTTCCAACAAAATTACAAAGCAGATGGAGTGTGTTCAAGTAAGATTATTCTTTAATTAATTAATTATTTTTTTATTAAGTTAATTTAAATATCAACCCCTTAAAAGATTAATATTAAATTTGAATAATTTTTTTTTAAGCATACATAATTTCAAAAGATATTTGCACATTTTATATTAGTATTTAAAGAGCTGCTTTATAGTCAATAAAGTATGATTTAATTAAATATTTCTTGATTTTCAAAAGCCCAAACGTGTATCCAGCAGAAAGAAAAGTCAACAATTTGCATTGCTGTTTATCTCATGTCTGAAGTTTGTTTAACCATAGATTTAGAACGAAATGCAACAGCTCAACAAATTATTAATATAATTCAAGCTGAAACAGAGTTGGGACTCATTAGAACATCACCACTTACCAATACCCAACCAGTATTTGCTCTATGGCTATGTTCATCACAGTTAGAAGTTCAATTAAGACCAGTTCATAAGCCACTGGAGTTAGCAATAAAGTGGCCTAGGTTAGTTAATAAGTATGGTTCACAAAAGTACAAGGACAATGACGAAGAACCATTATTGTATTTTCGAAGAAATATTTTTTTGTCTAGAAGAGATGAAGAACAAATTAAAGAACCAAAAATTATGGAATTATTATATGCAGAGGCTAACAGGAACGTACTTGATGGTAATTTTAATTTATGCAAATCTTTACATCAATTAATTTGAAATATTCATTTTATACATCAATGGTTAAATATTTTATTTTAGTTATTTATAAATGAGATATTTATACATCAATTTTAAATGCATAATAAACTAGATTCATCAAGAAGAAAACATTGTAAATTTATTTTTGAATAATTTAATATAAAAATTGGTACTATTTTATCTACTGCAATTTTATTGTTAAATGTATTGATTATTTAGTTCTTATATGTGAATTATAACAAATTATTTAAATGAAACATATGTTTCATATTAAAAACTGTCTTAAATATAGTTGACATTATGAGCTCATAATATTATTATAAATAACAATTAGATTCATCAAATTAAAAAAATAAGCTATATTATAATGTCATGAATGATAAATGTAACATATTTGATTTTAAATAATATTTTACACACAATTATTTGAATAAATTATTCTCTTTAATTAAAAAATGTCATAAAGTTTAAAACTTATATAATAAATAATTTTAAAAAAAGTTATTTCTTTATAATTTGATTAAACGAAATATTCATGTTGATGGTCGCTGGGTGAACATTAACTGCAATATATCGTTGAATCAAGGGCATTCTAAGCTTGAAGAAAACGCAATTCATGAATGGTGAATGTAGGCAGATATCCTTGTGAAAGTCAGGCGCGTTACGCAAGCCTCGGAGCTCTTCAAGCGCGTATCGAGCTGGGACCATACAATGTCCAGGCCCACACTCTCACTTTCTTCAGGAAGCATAGAGGCCGCTTTCTACCTCATCATTACAACTCACCATCGCTCCTTCTAGGCCTCGGTTTTGGACTGGGCCTTGTTGGAGGCAAGGGTGCGCCAGAAGCGCGACTTCTCGAACAGTACAAACGCATACCAAATCATTCTGGTACGAGTACCAACCCTCGTAAGCTCTTAAGGAAGTATCTTGAATTCTGCTGGGGTTTGCCTTGCTATGGGGCCGCCTTCTTTCAAGGCCAAATTGAGAGACCCGTTCGAGGACTCGCCTCTTGGATTACTAACCACGACCTACCAGTCCTCATTGCTATCAATACAATTGGCGTGTACATAGTCGACGATTCACAATGCGTAAGTCTGTCTATCTGTATAAATAAACAAAATTTACTTACTTTAGTCGCATCATTTTTTTGCTCGCAGTTTTGTTGCTGTCTCAAATTTATTATTTTGTTGCTACTTAAACTAATAGTAACTGAGTAGTTTTTAACTATTTTATTAAAATCGACGTAAAGTAATTAGATTTAAACTATCTAGTTATAAACAGAAGGTGGTAATAAAAAATTTAAATATTTGATAAGAGATTGAAATATTGATTATTGAAATATATAATGATATTAAAAGCTCAATATTTTTAATTTAAAAAATTATTTTAATAAAAATAAAATATAACAATTGTACTTACTGTAAGAATTAATTTCTTTGAAAGAAATTAAAAATAAAATAATCTATAAGCTAATTGCATTCAATAATTTATACATTTCAGAGTCTTTTATTGAGCTTAAGGTATTCAGAATTAAATTGGGAAATGGCAAAGCCTTCTGATGAAGGAAACCCAGACTGTTTGCCATGTTTATTTCTTCAATTTCCAGTGCGAGAAAATGGCGCACGTGTATTTAAAATACTACAAGTATTCTCCAAACAAGTAAGACTTCATTTAAATATAATGTTTTATATTGTATACACGTTTTTAAGATTTTATCGGCAATTAAATAAATATATACAATAAGTGTAAGTGAAGATTGTAAATTCAGCATTAAGCTTTGTTTAAATGTGAAATTGATATTTACTAATATAATATAATATAATTGTTTGAATTTATTTTTAGGCAATAATGATGGATACATTAATTTCTGGTTTTGCTGAAGGAAGTAAGCAAAGCGAGATAAACGATGAAAATGTAAATGTCGATAGATTGCAAAATAATTCAATGTTATCAAACATTGGAAGTTTTACAAATAAGCTTAGTAAATTTACACTTGCCACATTCGATGAAGAAGGTAATTTAATCAAATAATTATGTAAAAAATTTAGTAATAAAGTAGCCTACTAATATCTTGATTATTTATAGGCCATTGCATAGGTCAGATGGGTTCGTGGTCGATTCAGTAACCCTTTACTCTTGCGATTTCTTCAATTATTACATCATTCAATACACTAATTGTCAAATAATTAAATCCCAAACCTACATTTTGATAAAAAGTCACTTTCTGTACAAAATCTATCAAGCGTGTTTAAAAATTATGAAATAAATTAAACAAACCTTTTATACTATTTATGCATATTTTATTTAAACAGTTCATTTTCTTGAGCGTTTACTGGTCGTAAAGGATAGAAAGCCGATTGTCATTTTGAAGAAATTCAAGAAGCTTACGATACCGTATGGGTATAAGCTCACGATGACGATTTAATCGTACTTCTAAGGCATGTAATTTAAGGGTAATACTGTTATTAGTTTTGGAAAGGTCTTCTTTTTCTTCTTTAGTTAAACCTTCGGACTATAATGCAAATAATTAATTTATACTTAAATTTTAACTTTTTACATCTGATAAAAAGAATTGAATAATCCTTTGTTATATATTAAATAAACTTTGTCTCTAAATTTGTAAATTAGAGTTTTGCATAATTAATTTGTTCTAATTTTTTTAAAACATTAAAAAAACCAATTTCTTTATCTTTATAAAGAGATTTTATAAATAAATTTAAAAATATAAAAAGTGTTAAATAAAAATGAATAGTATAATTAAATATTATATTTGATAAAGAATTTTAATTAAAAAAAATACACACTTGAGTTAAAGTTGCTTGTATTTTAATCAATTTATCACTGCATTTCTTATAGTCTTTCTTCATGCAATTTGCTCTATTAATTGACGTTTGTTTGAAGTGCTCAAGGCATTCATTTCTAATTTGTGAGGCTTGTTTATTTGTTAAATATTTCACATTTCCTAATTTCATTATATATGGAGCTAAGAAATTAGTGTCTATATCAACCTTTTGTTCACTTCGAATTCTGATTTCTTCTTCCTGCAAAATCATACAAAATTTTATCGTGTAATTATTGATTTTTATTTAATGGAAACTACTTATTAAATAATTTTTCCTTGTAACCAACATAAATTAATAAATTATATGTAATTTTGAAAGATAAATAAAAACTATTTAATTAAAATGGCATATGTTTTATGAAATACATTTTACCATAGTGAGTAACGTCGTTTTAGCATCTTCATTTCTAATAGGATTGTATGGTGAAATTTTCAGTTTAGGGTTCTTAAATTCATTAGCTCTGTCTTCAAGAAATTTGAAAATTGCAGTTTCTCCTTTACGGATCTCTACAATACAAGTTTCTTCTTCACTTAGAAGTGTTTCTAATAATTCAATCAAATCGTCAAAGTTTTCAGGTTCAGCCATTGGGTCAGGCTGAAAATATAAATAATATGTATATAACAGAATAGAAATATGTATATTTTAAATTATTATTTTAATTTAGATGTTCCAAATTATAATTAATAATATTCACATTGTAACTCTGTGTCATATGTGGCGAGTAAACAAGGCGATCTCCTCTGTCGGTGATAGGAGGCTTAATAAAAGTTCTAGTAGCCTGTGTGTACTGTCCTTCGCAGTAATGAAATTTTAGGCGTATTTCATTTTTTATAAAATCAAATTCACGAGTAGCAATGTCTTTATTTGGAGTAACTTTTATGTTTCTATGGAAATTTTCCACAATTTTCTATAAAAAAATATATTTGTTCGATAAAGTATAAAATAAATTTAAAGTTTTTATAATAGCTTACTATAATTGTTCGTTCGTGAATATTATTTTGTAGATTATCATTGAAAACGGAGTATTCCACGAATCTAAATTGATAAATAGACATTTTAAATAGTATAAATATCTCTACGTAAATTGAACAATAAAAATATATTTTTATTTAAATAGAATAAAGTGTAATAATTTTACGTGTTATAGTTTATTTAAAATTATAAGAATGTTAAAAAATTAGTAAATAAAAAATATATTTTTAATGTATTGTTCCTAATAAAAATGTTATGTTATGAATAGATAAATATATTAATTTATTTAATTATGAAAAACATCGATATGTGCAATTACCGATTGTAAAGGTTATCGTTACGATTTTTATAATTTTGGGAAGTAAATAACGAATGCAAGTGAAAGCTAGCTAGTTCATCGAGTCTCTTTTTATTGTAGAATTCTAATGTTCTTTCCTCGTCAATGGTTCCTTTACTTTTTATAAAATATTGATGAGCTAAAAAATAATCCAATTAACGTATTAAATTTATTATTATGAGAAATAGTAAATGGACAATAAAAATTAGATACAATAAACAAAGTATTTGTAGGTGTATAAGCATTATTAAAATTAAATATGTATTTTTGAAAATAGTATTGCTCTTAAAAGTATCTATAAATAATATTTTCATTATATTAATGAGTAGTCGTAAATTTGATTTCATTTCATTAAGTGAAATATAAGAAAGTCGAATTTTAATACCCTTGCAAGCATCTATTCGTCCATTAGAATAATAGTCAGTAATAGTTTCTTTGCATAAATTTTTTTCGGATCTTATAAGCTTATCTTCACGTTCTTGATATTTCTCATAAATGTAAATTGGATTTTTGTACTTGTAATCATCATATAAAGTAACGGACTCAATTAAGCCATCGTTACGTGAAAATGGAGCGTATAAATAGACTTTTGTTTTCTTAAAGTATATGCTTTTAGTACCATTTGGATATCGTTGTTCATAATCTGCAGATATTACAAGTAAAAGTTATGAATAAATAATAATAATATTTGGATATTTTAAATATAATAAGAGTTATAGCTCAATTAAATAACTTTCAAGAATAAATAAATGATTGATAATGATCGTATATGAAAATTACAAAGGATCTTTCTTATTCAATAATTTATATCGATATTTTTTCTCTCTTATGAGCTCAATAAAAATTTATCAAGTTAAACACTTGGCCTACCATATTTCTCATATGTATTTTTCATTTTAGAAAAGGTTAAGATAGTTATAGTCTTCAATACCTTTGTTAGATATTTGAATGCGGCTGATGTAAGATGGGGGCATAACTAAGTGGAATTCTTCGCGTATGCTAATATCTGGATTTTCAACGTCGTTAACTTTGCGAAGACTTGTAGGTTCCCCAGCTAGCAGATGTTCCCAACAATGTGTATCCGTGAGATCCCATTTGAGTTTTGTGCACGCTTCCGCGCAGTCCTGCATATTTACCCAGTAGTTGTCACTATTCCAGAGGCTTTCAATGCCGAGGTAATAGTAATCAATTTTTTGGTCTTGAACTGAATATGAGTATCCCGTTGCTGGCTCGATGAACAACGGCTCTGTAATTTCTAAACTGCGCGGCCCACGGTCGTTCGGTAACAGTAGTACCCAACTATGCACTCGCATCCCGAACAGAGGGTCACGTTTCGGTTTTTCCAAGTTCTGTCAATGAGATTTATTGGATTATTTATTTATTTATATTTGTTTTTGTCAAAACAATTTTTAAAAATTTATTATTAACTAAATCACCTGTTTCTTATATACTGATATACCTTATAGCTCTATTTTAGTAACTGATTTTATTCATTTTATAAAACTATATCAAAATATTCAAAAAGGATGAAATTAATACTTTTGATGGCGTTAATATAGATTTCCTAAAACTTAATTTAGTAGCTGGTAAATATCAGTTCATGCTGTGCTAAATTCTCTTTGCGTTATTATTGTCGAATTGATAGTAATTCTATGGATTCGGCTTGAAATAGGTGTAGCACATTTAAGGATGAGTTTAACTATTTTACAGAAGACTTACCGCGATGTTCTGCATGTGTTCCTCCTCTTGGCGGTCATATTCCTTCTGGATTTTCTGCTGTTCACGTTCTTCGATACTTCGGAGAAACTTACTGGTGAGGTCTGCAGGAGGCGTCGGTTTATATTTACTGACAAAAGGAGATGGTGTAGGCGCGGATGGTTCTATGGATGGTGGTAAATATGGGCAGAGCACAAGAGTCTGGTCACAGAGGGTCTGATAACTTGAGGCATAGCCATTTATGACGTAGGCATTATATCCGAGACCCAACAACAGAGAGACCATAAAGGTCGACATCTCGAAACTGTTTGCGCGTCGATTATGTACCAAGTACGTTGGCGAATACAAATGTTTCGGCTACAGAGAAACAAGAAACTTGATTAATGCATAATATAAACCTTTACATTGATGCTATTGCTATAAAGCTATGTTAGAAGATAATATTAAAAATAATGTTCAATTATACTCTTCCGCGTGTAATAATACAACAATTAATTAATTTATATTTAATTATTCATCTTAATTTTAATCTTATTTAAATCTTCTCTTTTCTATTTACCTTCTCACTTTTCACCATTATATATTAGTAATACAGTAATGATCTAATAATAATTCAAATACCTATTTATTATTACATAAATGAAATATACATTGTCTATAGTATTCTTTACTAAATAAATAAAAAATCAAAAAAAAATTTTGAAAATATTAATAACAAAAATTTTTCTTTATCAAATCAAAAGGCTTTAGTCGACAGATATGCTTTGCCCTCGAAATTCGATTAGATCCATCGAATTCGATTTATAATTTTTTCAAAATTTCATGATTTGCTCGTTTTGATAGTTTAATTATTTCATCGTTATTATAAATAATAATTATTAAAGTGTATACTATTAATTTTATTAAGTGAATATTTTGTGAAGAATAAAAACAGTATATTATTTAAATGTATCTTTGAATGTTATGCAATAATATTTCATTGTAAGTGCAAACAAACTTATATATATATGTGACATATTATGTAAAAGTTTTAATATATATAACCTTTACATTCTAATTCCATAAATAATGTAAAAATCAATTGTACAATTGGTAGGTTACACATATTTCCAGTTACATAGAATATAAACTTATTTTTGAAGTTTACTGGGTTTATAGGTTCGGGGTAATACTAGAAAGAGACAACGGGGAAGAGGGTGTAAAAGAAAAACAGAAAATGTAAAAATAGAAAGAGAAAAAATTATATGTATTCACACAGGACCGTGCGCATCCGGACACATACACACACATACCCGCAGAACGAGAGAAAGACAATTGCTTGCTTAATAAAAAGTGAAAGACCACTAGAGGCTGTAATTATTTTGGATTCGAACTAGCGAAAGTTTTTAGGAGAATGTTCATGAAAATTGCTGATCGTTATAATCTGTTACCTTAAACTTTATTGTGAAAATTAATAGAATTGGCTTTTAAAAGATATCTAAAGATTGTTTGCAGAAATTTGTAATAAATATATAGATTTTAACCATATTTTAATTGGTTTTCCTTTTACTATTCACCTAATATATTTAAAAAATAAATTAATTTACATTTTCAGGTCGTAAGCGATGTATTTAAAATAGAAACTATAACATTTTGTTAAAATAATTAAAACAAGATCTAATAGATTTAGAATTATTTCTTTATAAATATTTAATTTTTACAATTAAACTTTATTTTAATACAATCGCTTAAAAACTTTTTATTAAAAATAAAATTGTATCAATAATTTGATATCTCGAGATTAATGACCTCCCACTTCTTTGTGTGGTAACCCATCACTAAGAACATTGCAACAAGAGGTATCGGGAGATTTACGACCTCCCATCTTTCTGTAGTATTATTGTAGTATTGTTCCAACAATAACATAGCAACCAAGGAAAGCATAGAAGAAAAAAACACAAAGAATCCTAGAAAATGCACATAGAGTGCCTCACCAACATACTTTCCCTTTGAAATTGAGATAATGGTAAAAACTCAATGGTCGCGCATCTCACTGATGAAGAACCTGGCTGAAGAATATAAGTCATCATAGTGTGACGACTCTCTAGATGAATTTTCAGATGTAAATTCACTCCCAATTCACAGTCCTTTAGGACAACAAACGTTGAATAATCCAATCATGTTTCAATCAAGTGTTCTCCAATTTAAAACCAATTAAGGAGGCGGGGAGAGCCGAGTTGGAAAAACTCATCAACACCGCCGGGGAACTAATGCAACAGTTACTGGCATTGGGAGTCAATGAAGATGTGTGGAACTGTGTCTCTGCATACCTGATCGTTTGATCGTGCCACAAGGAAATTGTGGGAGTCATAAGGCAAGGTCAAAGCTACTGCATCTCTCTCACCATGGATAAATTCACCTGAGTCATGACAAACCCAGCCAACAGTGAACGAAAGACAGTGTGAACAGGAAACACGTCCCAGTGCTGTACTATTAGCCACAGTACCCAAGACGGAATATCAATGGAACATAATCCACAGATACTTAACATTAAAAAAATTGTTGTGAACGACAGCACTCTGTCTCACATTTATCGTATAATTAAGAAAAGATATTGAGATGACCTCCACTAACGAGAATAACATAGAAACCTTGGAGAAGGCAAGGATATTCTGGATAAAGGCAACTCATTCAGCATACTTTTCTTAAGAATTGATAATTCTTAACTCCAAAGTCCAGTTACCAAAGAATCATGCATAGTCAACTAACAGCACAGCCAACAATCAAGGAATTATTAGGGTTGGTGGAAGACTCGACAAAGCGTCACTCACCCAAGGAAACAATCACCATCCCTCAACATATATACGTCACGGCTCTCGTCATTGATCAAGCACACCAACGTACTCTATACGGAGGCACGCAAATCACGTTGACGAACATTCCTCAAAAATATTGGATACCTGGTGGGAAATTCTTTGTAAAAAAACATATATTGCGCTGCATTGTGTGCGCACAACAAAGGGGAATCTGAGCCCAATAATCGATGGGACAATTACCAATTTCTACAGCTACGCCATCACGACTGTTTACTCATACCGGAGTTGACTATGACGGCCCTTTAACCATAAAATAATTGAAGGGGTGAGGAACGCAAATTCATAAAGCATAGATTTGCGTTTTTGTGTGCCTTGCTACATCTGCGATACATATCAAACCGTCAGTGACTACACAACAAATGGCTTCATATCCGCATACTATTCGCTCTAGGCACCATCTAACATCAACAGATAGTAAATATGTTATCACAAGACAATACTCACTGGGAATTTACCCACCTGTATCGCTTTTCATAGGAGGCAAGTGGGAATATGTGGTAAAATCTGTAAAACACTACCTGAGACGCACTATCAGAGAGACCTTACTCACCCTAGAAGAGCTTACCACTTTGCTTGTCAAAATGGAGACAATTCTCAACTCCAGACCGTTGGAACCGATTAGTGGCGACCCCGAAGATTTTTCGGCACTCACTACCGGAATTTACTAATAAGGAGCTCGCTCACAACTTGTTCATGTCAGGATTGTCTCGTTGGCAATTTATACCATAACGTGTACAGCAGTTCTGGGCAGAATGGTGAGCTTACTATTTACAGCAGCAACATTTAATCTCTAAATGGCATTACCCAAGGAATGACATTCAGGTTGGCTTGTTAGTTCTTGTCACTGACCAACGTTTCCCACCGTGCAAGTGGACTCTCACTCGAGTTATCAACATGCATCCTGACAAGGACGGACTGGCCGGAGTAGTCACACTAAAAACAGCTTCAACCACTATAGTAAGGCCTATACACATACTTGCAGTGCTACCAATCCCTGCGGAAGGGAGTGATCATCAACTGAATTGGTGATGGCGGGCGGAATGTTCGGAATTGGAGCATTTTCCAAGAACGTAGGCTCTCGGAAATGTATAAGCCTTCTAGCTTTCGAATTTTGTAAACATTTGATTCCGAGAATTTTCGAATATTCTAAAGCTTTACCTTCGAGCGTCCTACAATTTTTATCTGGTCTCCGCATAGCAACGTCGGTTGGAATTCTCCAACCTTCTAAAGCTTTGTTTCCCGTAGTTCACGAAGCTTTTAAAGCTTTAGACTCGAACGTCCTGTAATGTTTTCCTAAAGCAATAGCTATGCATTGTTGCCAACTAAGTAAGCTGCCACGTGGATGATTAAGGCAAGCACATAAAGAGGCATGGCTTAGTTACGCAGCCAGCAAGCTATTCGCCATACACTCTCAAGGTAAGGCCACCAAAGAAGGAAGACGCGTCTATTCTCCCGCGCTATAAGATAAAGGAGTGGACACTATTCCCTTCAAATCAAGAAAGTGCCAGACTACAACTACCGTCTATCTATCCACACGGAGCATCTGGTATGGTGAAACAAATCATCTACACGGAGCATTCGGGATGGTAAACAGGTCAAGACTACTGTTCTTCTGTCAGTAAACCAATTCTAAGGCATAAATCATTGCTAATTCTTACAAGATTAGCATGATGCTATTATAAAATAAAACTTAAATATAGCACAACCATACTCACTAATAAGAGTGTGCATAATCAGTGGCTTATTCTTACAAAATCAACAACATCAAGGAACATCTTATAAACGATCTCATAAACTATCTCATAAACTATCTCATAAACGATAATCAGCGTAAGTATATTTTCGTTATATCATTTAATTCATTTAGTATTAAATAAAAGTTTTACATAATTTTATAAAATATATATCAATTTTGAATTATATCTAATCAGTGGCATTTATTTTTGTTATAATCAATTACATTGTAAAATAGAATTTTTATGATTATAAAATAAAATCTTTTTTATATTATTTTAATGTTTTTACTGTATTACATTTTTATAATTTAATATTAACATCGGTATCTTTTAATTCAATCTCTATATAAACACCGGAAAATTTCAATATTTCAAAAGAATAATAAATGAAAAATAATATACATTTTCCTTGCCAAATATAATTATTTTTACGAGTATATATTTTAGTTTTTTAATCAAATTGTAAATAAATTTTTTTATTTTACTTTAAATAAATTATAAAATACGTAAAGTTCTAACAATTTAACTTATTGATCTTAGTATTACAGTATTGAGATTAAATATTTTTATTTTCTTCACTTGATTAAAATCAATTCATTATGTCTGAAAATTGAAAACTAATTTCTTTAATATTAAACAATTATAAAAATTGTTGAGTAAATTGCAAAATTAGTTTCAATATTATAAAAAAAAAATTAAAAAATCTAAGAAGATGGCTGGTGTTGGAAATCATTTATTTCTTTATTTGTTAGTTTCTGTTTATTTATTCATTCAATTATATTTTTTTTAATTGCAGTTCGCATTTGCTCTTTCTTCCCCTCCATTCACTCACAAATATTTATAATATGCATTATAAAACATATAAAATTGGAAATTTAAATAATTTTGTTTAACAATTTATAGAGAAAAATGAAAATTATGTACACTTCATCTAACTCTATATCTACATCTAACATTCTTATTGAAAAAATTTTAAAAATAATGGA